CTGCAGGTCTTGATCTTCTGCAGCAAGCTCATCAAATTCCCAGCTTCAGCAAGTGAGGTTGTGTCATCCTCCTGATAGAGCCTAGCCTATATGTTCTGCATAAAAATTTTAAAGATATGGAGATAGGACACATCACTTGTGTACATCCTTCCCGATTTTGAACCATGCAATGTTTGCTTGCTCTGTTCTGAAGACTCCTTCCTGGTCCAAGTATAGGTTTTGCTTAAGCACAATCACATGTTCTAAGATTCCCATTCTCAGCCACAGTTTGTTGTGATCCACACAATCAAACACCTCTGCATAATCAATGAAGTCCAAATAGACATAATTTTTTGTGTGCATGTTTTAAATTTTATTTTACTAATTTTAATGAACATTTACAGAGATATTGGGTTTCCATTCATTCATTGTTGCACTTTTCCGTATCACTCCTCTCTGAGAGAGACTTCACCCTGATTCATAAGGGAAAGGGGACGGGACGGCGTATTCTCTTGGCTACTTCCTGCTGGAAAGGGATGCTGTAGGTTTCAGGGTGAAGATCTTCTCTCACTACTCTAAAGGGACCCTTTGGCAAAAGGAAACACGTAGACTATTGTGGAGATTGATTTTGGAATTTAGATGCACCAAATAGGCATTCTTCGGATACTATAGCTATAACTGCCTCTTTTAAACAAGGCCTACACATCTGGAGTTCTCTGTTGATGAGCTATTCATCATTTTTGGATCATTTTAAGCAGGATCTTACTTGCATGTGATATTAATGATATCATTTGATAATTTCCACACTCTTTCGGGTCACCTTCTTTTGGGATGTGAACAAATGTGGGTCACTTCCAGTCAGTTGCCTGGCAGTTGTCCTCTAGATTTCTTGACATAACTTAGTGAGTACATCCAGGACAGCGTCTGTTTGTTGAAATACATCAATTGGTATGCTATCAATTCTTGGGGCCTTGTTTTTTGCCAATTTTTTTCAGAGCAGCTTGAGAGGTCTGGTGGCCCAGTGGCAAGAAGCTGCACTGCAATCCCAGAGGTATGCAGTTCCAATTCACCAATTCACCTGCTGCTCTGCTGGATAATGAAGGCCTGTCAGATCCAATTTCCTTTTTTTTAAAAGGTCCCATTCAGAGCAGCTTGAACTTCTTCCTTCATCACCTCAGACGCTTGCTCATGTATTGTTTCATTTAATTCTTCTGTGTCAGCCAATTCATTTCGGTACAGTGACTGTGTACTCCTTCCATCTTCTTTTAATTCTTCCTAGACCATTTAATATTCTGCCCAAAGCATCCTTAAGTATTGCAAGTTGAAGCTTGAATTTGTTCTTCTGTTTCTTCAGCTTAACAAATGCAGAATGAGTTGGTCTTTTTTTATTTTCTGATTCCAGCTCTCTGTACATTTTATTATACTACTTTACTTTGATGCCATGATGCCTTTTGAAATCTTCTGTTCAGCTCCCTAATTTCTTGATTTCTTCCCTTTGATTTGGTTTCTGTTCAGATTCTCTTCTGATGTCCATCTTGGTCTTTTCTTCCTTCTCTGCTTTTGTAATGACATTTTTCATTCTTCCTCGATGATACTCTTGATATCCTCCCACAGCTCATCTGGTCTTTGCTCTTTAGTGTTCAAGGCCTCAAACCTGTTCCTGAGATGGTTCTTAAATTCAAGTGGAAGAGACTTAAGGTCCAATTTTGGTTTCTGTGGATTTGATTTAATTTTCGTAGCTTCAGCTTGAACTTGTAATTGAGTAGTTGATAGTCTGTTCCACAATCAGAATCTGACCTAGTTTTCACAGTTGATACTGAGCTTCTCTAGCAATTCTTTCTATGGATGTAATAAATCTGTTTCCTGTGCATACCATCAGGTGAAATCCATGTGTATATCCTATAAAGAGAGTCGATCAGAACTTTTTAAAAGTTTTAAGCTTTGTCATAAACATGTGTTTGATAAGACGGAAATGTGTGCCTTTTGTAAATTATAAGAATACTCAGAAGACAATTAGAATAAAAATATTAGTTAAAAGTGCAGTGACATTTAAAAAAATTTATGTACTCCTGTCAGGTCCCAGTTCTGAGAAGGGAGAGGTGGTAAGGTTCAAGGTTATCCTGTTTGTTCTCACACTATGCAAAGACTCACCCAAGAACTTCCAACATAAAATTAAAAGCATTAGGATCTTTATTTAACATCAAGTCGAAAACAGAAGGCCCATAATTTTTACTTTGCAACTGCATATCTATGCAAACATAATAGAAAGTCGAGTGTCTTATGTGTGCAAAAGATCTTCTAATGTTTAAAGATCAATTGGTACAAAAACTTTGTACTGGGAAGAAATAAGGGTTGTATAGAATATTTGCAAATGCTTTTTGTTAGATCACCTTTCTTGGGAATGGGAATAAACACAGATCTCTTCTCGGCTGTTGGCCA